GGTAAGCCTTTTCTCGGTGCCGAGGGTCACTCCATCCTGGACGCTTCCTCTACTCCCGGATAAAGCTACTGACAAACTGGACATCAGCCTATGCCAGTATGGACTATTCATCATGACCTCTTCTTACACAAGTAATGTCAGAACGTGCTGGAATACCGACGTAACAGCCAATAAGGGATGGACGCGTGGCAAATAATGTCACATCCGAAGCAGACAAACCGCATGCCGCTGCTGGCACGCGACTTGGGAAAGCAAACAATTAATTGCACCCTTCTGTTGACGAGACCGCATTTAATGCGGTAAGGTTCGGATATGAAAGGCAATAAATGCTCCTATTACAGAGCATTTATTGCATCCTTCCCGAAAGGAGCATATTGTACCGTCGGCGTCCCGACAACTCACCATTGATTGCTCGGGACCCCGAGCAGTCAATTAGAGAAGACATTCCTCATCAAATGATTACACACGCTACCTGTGCCTGATGATCACCTACTGACCACACTGACAGCAATCATGATCTTCTAAGGTATAAATACCCCTCCCAAAAGACAAAGCGGGTATGCAATCTCAAACTCTCAACTACGAAATATCCTACTCAGTGTTTTCTCCTTCCTCTCTCTCTCATTCAGAGACTGACTAGACCGTCGGAGGGGATACGCCGGAAAACACTCCGGCGCCCTTCTAACTTGTTCTCCTTTGTTCCAGGAAATACCTTTCACACGTACAGGATCGTTCCTCCTTTCCCAGGATCTCCCTTTGCCGTTTCCGGTTGCCACCGTACCTTGTAGGCTGTTTCAAGCAGCGTGTTTGGCTACTCAACCGGCTCACCCAAAGTTCACCAGGGGAGAGATCTGTTCCCAATATTTTATATATCGTGCAGGATCGAGCCCGCACAATACGGTAAAAACAATTCCCTGAAGAACATCTCATGCAAGACAAATCGAAAAAACAAAATAGAAAGAATCGGAAGAACACATAGACACTAATTCTTACGATATATCTGTCGTTGTGTGATGGAAACATTGACCTTTTTTTCTCTCTAAATCGGCCTCTTCGATCGTTGAGATACAGAGAAACGGAGAGAGAAAAGTACAATTGGCAACAACAATATCTACTTAAATCGACCTTGTATCAGGTTGGTTGATATATAAACAGGAACGGACGGTTCAGATAGGGTGAGTGAGCCAATCAAAAGGCTGCAGTTCTACCGATGGGAGTGGAGCGGGTTTTGGAGACGGATACCCAGGTTTCTCCGGGTTCAGAAATGTGTGGACTATTTTGGAGCTTCGAAATTGGCTTATTGGGGGCTACTGCTCCAGTCTTTCAAAAATGAGGGGTGAAGGCCATGTAATTCAAGCATATAAACAATAACTCAGACACTGTGTAATAAAAATTTTATGGTTCAAAAAATCGATTTCATTATATTAAATAATAATTTTTTTTCTCTTTCTTTAATTCATTAGTTGAAATTAATTTTTACTCATTCTATTTATAAAATTTTCTGAAAATATGTGTCCACAATACATTATCGTATATGAATAATATGTGAACTAAAAATTAAATAAATCAACATATGATAACAATATGCAAGGATTAAAATGATGCAATTGTGATTTAGGGCATTATTGTGGAGCTCAGGACCCAGACAATTCGAATCCATAACCTAAGATCTGTACCGTCCCCTCCCTCGGGGCCCAGATTATAGATTTGGACCTGAAACTCGAATCCTAACCCACTTGTTTAGTATACAAGTGAATTAGACACGATACGATTAATAAACGAATCAGTTACGAATAAAGTAAATTAGAAAAAATACACGACATGATTCATTTATATGCTAGTAATATACGATTTATACATAACATGAATTCGATATAACATAGTTCGTTAGACACGAATTAATAAACGAATCAAATACGGACAAAATATTTTTTAACACAAACTTACTAAAACTTGACATGAACCCACCTCACCCAACACAACTAATAAGTCTACTTAAACCCCCGAAACGAGCCCTGGATTTGAAATCGGACCGGTCCCCAAGCCAAAAATCTAACCCCAGATGTTGGGCCAATTCTTCGACCCAACCTTGGACCTCAAACCCCGACTTGAGGCTCGAATTAGAATGTGGATTGTAGATTCAATTTCAAACCAAGTCTCGGACCCAACACCCAAGTGGAAGTGGGTGTTGGGGGTGGCAGTGGGGTGGGGTGGGGGTGGTTGAGAGTGGGTAAATGACTAATCATATACTCTTGCACTACGTATTGTATGATAACAATAGATTTTCATTATATGAGCTAAACATTATAATCAACATTACTTTGTTATCATGCTCCATTTTCTTGTAACTATTCCCACCATTTTTTTTATAATTATTTTAAAATTTAAACTTTCAATTATCTTTTTTAATTATTTAAAGTACAAACAATGAGGCATACTTGTGGAATCACGCTAGTATAAACAATGAGGCTTTACTTCTAATGTAGAGTTAGCAACATCTCTCTTGCCAACTTGGGTAGATGCAGATTAGCCTTTCAATCTTAGCCTATATGCATTGAAGCAAATTTTGCCAAGCCACATGCAACCCACTGAGGGTCAAATCGCTCCACTCTAAATTTTTAAAGAACCAACACTGTGAAGTCTCAATTATGTACATATGCGCAAGTAATTTGTCTGACACTTTGTCCATGTCAAACCATGTCAGCATGTGTTTGTTTTAGTCTGACGAGACATCTATTATTGCTTAGACTGTTATGACTTAATCCCTATTATAAAGTACATGGAAGAATTCCCGACCTCGTTTCTATATAAATTTCTTGACTCTTGTTAATGTAGTTCATTTTCATTTTGATTATAAGTCCATCATTATGTAAGCCTACTTCTAACTTCCTACATCATAATTTCACTAAAACTTTAGAGCAAATTAACTAAGAGTAGTCATATTGGTCACATTATTAGCCAGATCAGGCATGATGTTGGTGGTGCAAGTACTACTGCTACTTTATTATACACAACCCCCCTCCCACACACACACACACACACTCACATAGATATATATAGAGAGAGAGAGAGAGAGAAAAAAAGAAGGGGCTCAATTATTGTTTGAGGAAAAGATCTTTGAATACAATTAATGACTTTTGTGAAGTATGAACATTTCTGAGTTTTGACTTTTAAATTGGTTGACATGTGTACACACACGTTACCATTCAACAGGATTATTGAATGGGTTCAAACATGAGTCTTTAAATTCTAATGGCTTGGATTGTTGGAGCCAGAACTTGTAGGCATTGTCATAGGTATTTGGACACCATTGGAACTGATTTGACTTTGATGTGCAAGACGAAACTTTAATTCATATTTTTTCATAATTATTCCTCTCGAATTAAAAATATTCCTACTTTTGAATGGACAGTGAACCATGGAAACTACTCAGATGGTGACAAACTCTAACGAAAGATGCTGGTTTTAGACGCACAGACCAGGCATTGCAGTCTTTCACATTAAGGGAAACAGAAGTTCTATCTGGGTGTGGGCATCTTGAATATGAAACCAACACCAACATGGGACAAATTTCTTATTACCAAAGCAAATCACATTAAAGAAATAAGGACAAACTATGTACTGCTTTTATTATTGTGCATTACTTGTCCCTATAACATTTATACTTGTGTCCACGTGTGCAAATTTTCAGCAGTTTGGTTTTATTGGAAATATTTTATTTTTCTATGTACAATTTGGATGTCACGATAGTATTGCTTGACATACGCAATAGTTAGCGGTATGCACTTAAACAAACTGGCAATATGACAATATGAACTGCAGTTCCTTTTCAATTCTTTTACAACTTTGAATACATATCAATGGTGTCAATGGTTTGAAATCCACTTACCTGTCCAGAATCACCCATGTCGCCTGTAAACTTCTGGCAGCTTTTAGACCAACCCCGCCTTTGCTGGAGATCCGGCCCCGGCATGCACCTCTATGTTGAACTTTATCTTAGTTGTTTTGTTTACAAGCATGATCTTGTCGGTCATTTTATTTACGAAGTTCAGTAATTTCTGTAAAATGTGCTTACTGAAAAACCTGAAATCATGATACTGAATTCTTATGGTACTAAGGCAAAATCTCGTAATACTGTGAAGTATGAACATTCATAGCTAGCCTAATACTTAGTTATGAATGTTCAAATATCCTAATATTTATAGTCAATTGGTTTTGAGTTGGTTGTTATAACACGACATTAGAGCTGGGCTTTGGAGGTTACTAATGGACATTCAAATCTCCTAATCTTGAGGGGAGCCTGGTTTTGAGTTTGATGTTTGGCTGAGCCTTACCCATTTGAATTTCTCTGTATGCATGTTGTTTGTTAGCCCCACATGCAAGCCCGGGTCCCACGTGAGGGAGGGTGTAAAGGGATCTTATATTCCACATCACATAATTAGGACCACCTTTTGAGTTGGATTCTCTAACATAATAAGACACCTAAAATTAATTAAACATGTGAAAAAGAATTAGGAAAGGACATGCGAATAAAAAATGACAAATTCCGAAAATTTGATCAAGGTAAAAAGTGGATACGTTGGAAGTATGAAGTTTTACGAATCTGTTGGTTGGACATAGTAGCATTGAACTAGTATTATTAAACAAAATTGATTCAGAAACCTGACGTTAGCAACAGACTGAAGTTATATTGCAGTGTTAGAAGCAGAAATGATGCTTATGATACTAATTTTTGTGGTTGGCTGCATTTCATAAGGTTATTTACTATGTATATCTTTTGTGTGGATTGAATTGCATTACTAAACAAAGCAGTATTGCACCTCCAAATGCGTCCACCAACTTGTTTCTTAAAGAAAATAAGGTTTGAAATTGAAGAGCTTTGTTGTCACATTGTTCTAGTATACCTTAGCCAACTTGCATATAGATAACAACATTCACATTGGTTTAAGACGAATCAGAAAAGCATGAAATAATTGCGTTAGGTTGCTAGTTTTGAATACCTTTTCCATTTCACACTGCTGCAAAAGTTCCATCAGATCCTCACTCTTCTGGTATTGTTCCATCTTCTTGGCCACTTCTTCCTCAACAATCTTCGGGTTTGATCCAAGTATGGTTCCCGAATCCACTTTGATCTTATATCCCACTGCATATTATTAAAGGAAGTCAGAAAAAAAGGCAGGTTGGGGGGGAGAAAAAGATAGGAACCAATAGAAAAGGAGAAGGGGGAAATAAAGTGTTAGATAGTAGTATCAAATCTGTGTATTATTTATTCAAATCTTTCCTCCAATTTTAAAGTTACAGAGAGAAAAAAACCCAAGAATCCTTACACTTCTTCCCAGCTTCCATGAAAGATAACGTACTAGGGTTATTAACCTAGTGAAGAACTCCGAGAAAAATGAGCTCATCTCCAGGCTTAAGTGAAAATTGTTGCGGGACTCATCTGATTGCGCTCAAACAAACATCTCTGGATGCATCTTGGATCACCATCACCTTCTGAGCTCCCACAAACATGATCTATTTTCTCACACAAGTTAAAACTATGACTCTACAATAGGATTGTCTCCGCAATTTAACAATAGAATGCTTATCAGGATATATATGTAATGGGATTCATTAGTAATGTTTGTTGTATCTAACGTGTTCAAATGTACAGGATCAAATTTCAATGTATGTGAGCTATGTCTATGTCTAACTGTGCTGAATTGATAGTATCTAACAGTGATCTTGAAAGGGATCTCCAATTGAAAGAGGAAGATGAGAAGGATGGATCAAATAAACGGGAAGTGGGGCAATGCAGACAAACAACTCCCATAAGCCAGCAGAACTCTGCTCAATGCAGGTCCACAGATTGTGATGACGAAAATAGAATGTAAGTAAGCATTCAAGGGAAAAGGATGGTGGTGAATCCAAGCAAGCATCTGTAATACTAGTTTGAGCGCATATTTGGATATCTATGGTGATGGGTCTACAGGGTTTTCTCATTCTTCAGGGGATGAAGTGTTTAAACTGCAAATATCGTCAAAACCTATGCTTACCGTCCAAAATTTATCCTTCTATCTCTTCATTGCTGGATTTTTAAAATGAGGAAAATGGGGAGATTGATGATAACAAAGCTTATACAGAATTGTGTTTAGTTGATGATAACATAGATTTGTTAGCTGTTTTCTCAACAGTTCTATTACGATGGCTGATGGTGAGCCAGCCGCTAAGGTTTTTCGTCAGAAATATCGACATGAAATCAACAGCTTTGTTGGTCTCTTTATCTTGCAAAGATTTAATGTGAGTTTGAATGGGGCGACGGCTTGCAGCATTTACTTGTGGATAAAATATTCAATAGACCGATGATACCAGCACTTGAGTCTCATGTGTTGTTACCACCCGTCCAATAATAAAAATAACGAGTGGGTTTCTAAAATATTCATGTACAGGACAGCGATGTTACGTGACAATGTTGACGTAAAATCACCGTTGCATTGAATATGTTCTCGAAGCTTATTGCCCCACAAGAATCAAAAACTATCTTCATTTATGTCGATAGAATGGACATTTTGGTTTTAGTGGAACTGAAACAAATCGTTACTCGCAGGGCGAGCTCCTTTATGAGGTGCGCTGAACTTTTGATCAACTGTACATATGGCATGTTAGGGACTAAACTTTATTCAAACTTAATACATTTGTCCCCCCTAATTTTTTGAGAATTAATAGTGATCCAAGTTATTTTTTATTTTAAACAACTTATACTTAGTGGTTCATCGCCCCTTGAAACGAATGTTTAATTTTTGGATCGAGGAAAATAATTGTGAAATACCTCAACTCAAAGAATTATCTACTCTTTCTAGAATCAATTTCTTAATAAGATAGAGAACGGTCTCAATTAGGCTTGATAACAAAAGAAAAAATAATTTTATCATGGAATTTGTTATTGTCTACACTAAAAAGAAATTAATGTGAAATTTAGCTTAAAATCAATCACTTATAACCTATTTTTGAGATTTAAAAGTAATTAGTTGATCATATTTTAAAGAAAATTTCATTTTATAATTTCATATAATAATTTAGTCTTGATTCTGAATACAATTTGTTAGGCTTGAAATTAAAATTTTTGGTATTAATTAGTGAATTTATTTTAGCCATTTTTTGCCCCTCTAAGAGAGAATCCTACTTCCGCTCCTGATTACTTGAATAACAAAATTTACTTGTTTCAAAAAAATTTTGAATATTGAAGACTTTCAAAATTATCAGATTCGAAATTCTAATATTTTGCGGTATTTCATAATGTTTCGAAGTATTTTGTAATGTTTCAATGCATTTGCACAATTGTTTTTGAAATGTTTCAATGTATTTTAAGATACTTTGGTATATTTCGACCAACATTTTAAAAAAATAATTCTCAAAATTTTTTTATTTTGTTTCCAAAATAGGTTGAAACATTTGTGAAACACATCAAAACATTTTCGTTTCTTAAGTGACCAAAACAATGTAACAAAACGAAATTTTAATCCTTCTCTACGTGATATAATAACTACACAAGTAAAAAATTAAGGTGCACTTTATCCATGTACAACGTGTATATAGGAAAGTGACATATTATGTAGCAATGCATTAACGTAGTATCACAAATACATTGAATATGTACTCCTGAGTTTGCTCTCAAGCTTATTGGCCCGCAAGGATCAAAAACTATTTTCATTTATGTAGAAAAGATTGGATTTTGTTTTTGGTGTAATTGAAACAAAATGTTACTTAAATCTCAAAATTTACTTGTTTCGAAATATTTTGGAATGTTGCAAACTTTCAAAATGATCAGATTCAAAAGCCTATTCCATGTTGAAGATTTTGCATATGTGTCGATCTTTATTCAACTATTTCAAAAATCCAAGGAAAATCATCGAAATCAATGAAAGCAGAAGGAAGATCATACCAGCATATCGTCCTGAAGTCCCAATTATACACTCCTTAAACTTATGAATAAAATGCAAATTTTGAATATATGCAATCTCCAAAAGCCACACACATAAGTTAAACTCAAATTTTCTACGGCCAAGTTCTTAAACTTACGAATAAAATGCAAATTTTGAATATGTGTAATCAGGGACGGAACCAGAATTTAATTGTACAAGGGGACAAATAGAAACAATAGCACAACAAAAAATTGTAATAAACTAGGTCATTCAACTTATTATCTTGAGTGTCAAAGTTGAAATGGTATAGAATTTATCACAATCAACTTTCAGATGATACGGTTGTAAAATTTAGTTTGAGTAATAAAATTTAAAAGTTGATTTATATTTACAATTGTAAAAAATAATTTGCGAAATGTATCTAGTTATTCTATCATTTGTAATGACTATGAACAAATTATCATAGCAAATATTAGTTTAGCCTAATTCCATTGTAAAAATTAATACCATTCATGCTTATAATCTAATTCCGTAACAAATTTAGATTTTTTTAATTTTAGGATTAATTACAAAATACCCCTTTAAACAATAGGTCTTGTTTCAATCAGGTTCCTCTGGTTTAAAATTAAACAATTTACCCCTTTCAAGTTTCAAAATGAGCAAAAAGACTAACGGAGATGACTGAGTAGGTGAAATTTCAAAACTATCCTTCATCCAGGTTGATGTATTGGCGCCAAATATTTAATCACGGTTAGTTAATCACTTATCATATAAATAGAACTCTAACCCAATTTAAACTCATGAAACCTATTTTTTTAACTCTGTTTTCTTTTCTGCCATGCTTGTTGTTGTACACAATCCGAGCGAAGAAAGAAACGACATGAAGGGGATTAGAGGTTACGGTGCATGAACCATGTGGGCATCTTGTGTTGATTGAGCTCGAAAGTTCGATTGTAGGTGAACCCGCTTGACCCCGAAAGTTCGATTGAAGTTAATAGTTACGATGCAATAAAGGTTTGTGGTTATCTTGTGTTAATTGAGCTCGAATGTTCGATTGAACGACGAATCCAGCTGATTTATCTTGTGTTGAAACTTTTTGTTTTACATTTTAGGTTCACTGTCTACATTGTTAGAACCATGTGATTTCTTTTGGTTTTATAGCTTTTTATATTGCCTTTGATTCCTTGTCTGCCATTTTTGGGAACCATGTACTCAGGCTTATTTTTGTTCACCTTTATGGCAGTATCACTAACTGTGGTCCCCTATTAAACAACTTTCGCTATGTTTGAGCTTAAAGATCAAATATTTTAGCTCACATTTAAAGCACCATCAAGGTTGGTGGTCCCCCATTAAACAAATTTACTAAGTTTTTGTTGTTTTGTGCAGATTGAAACAAGTTACTTAACTCTGGAGTTTCAACATGGAGGGCATTTTGTCGCTTTTAGTCCTGTTTTAATATACAATGGAGGTAAAATTAACAGGTTTGATAACATTGACCCAGATTTGATGTCTCAAATTGAGGTAGATGGCATGGTTGAAACTCTAGGTAATAAGAAAGATACAGGATACACAGTCTATTATATGCTACCAAATGCAGATAGTGAAGATGGTTTAAGGCAATTGGCTTCGGATAATGATGTACTTAACATGTTTGCATGTTATGAGGGGAATGATATTATTAGGTTGTATGTAGTCATTGAGCAGATTAATGAAGGTAGTAGAGGTATATCTACTGTTGGAGATAAATATGATACTCCTACCTTTGATTATGAATTCAATATTGAGTATGGTTCCACTTTTTGTGATGGTTTGCCTGATACAATGGTAAGATATGCTGACTCATTTGATGATTTGGACTTGTTGTACTTTTATGATGGTGTGCCTGATGGGGTGCATTCTTCTGGTCTTGAAAATAGAAGTAGGGTTGACAAGGAAAAGTCAAAAATTGGAGAGGAATGTTCCGGTGTTGGGAGGGGGAATAGTTTTGATTAGGGCAAGGCCAAATTAAATGATTGCTTGTCTGATGAGGACAATGATCATCTATATAGTCCCCTTAACTCAGACGACGATGTAATACATGTGAGGTATCAAGAATTCATGGAGACCACTGATATGTCTAATCCTAAATTGACACTGGAAATGATCTTTAGTTCAGCTACCATAATTAGGATGACACTTGGACAACATGCGATTATGGATGGGTTTGACTTCAAATACCTCAGGAATGATGGCAATAGGGTCACAGCAGTGTGTTCACAATCTTGTGGTTGGCGTATCCATGCTTCACTCATGCAGGATAAGTTAAGTTTTCAAATAAAAATCTTCAAGCCAACACACAATTGTACACGTGCCTATCAAAAAAAGAAAGCAACTGCATCTTGGTTAGCAATACTATGATGTGTATAACATAGTGCTCTGTAACTAACTTCTGATTTATGCATTGTTTTCACTAGGGATTGGTTGAGAGTTTTAATACTGTGATGGCAGGAGCAGATCATAGATTTTGCTTAAGGCACATGTATGCCAATTTCAAGGACAAAGGTTTCAAAGGTAAGGCTTTGAAAGATACAATGTGGGCATCAGCATCAGCATATACAGTTCTTGAGTTTGAGGAATGCATGAAAGAAAACAGGATGTTAGATGAAAAGGCTTACTGGTATTTGAGGGGCATAAACCCAACATTGTGGTCCACGTCTTTGTTTAGTATACATCCCAAGACTGACACACTATGCAACAATGTGTCAGAGTCATTCAAAAAATTGATCTTGGATGCAACAGACAAGCCAATTATCACAATAGTTGAGATGATAAGAAAAAAACTCATGGAAAGGTTACAAGAAAAAAGAGAAAGCTTGATGCATTACATCGGTTTTTTATGCTGTACAATTCAGAAGAAGTTAGATGCACAAAAAGAAAAGTCAAGGCATTGCATAACAATTTGGGCTGGACAAGGAGAGTATGAAGTTGAGTGCTTTAGTAAGACTTATGTGGTAAATCTAGAAAACCGAAGTTGTACATGTAGAAGATGGGATGTTACTGGCATTCCATGTGGACATGCAGTGTCATCCATCTCATTTCATAAAGGAAAAGCTGAAGATTATGTGGATGTTTTCTACCACACTAAGACGTATATGAGAGCTTACTCTCAAATCATCCACCCAATTCCTGATAGGAGCCAATGGGTGTCATTGGGAATGGATGTGATCAACCCACCATTGTGGAGAAGACAGAGAGGAAGACCTAAGAAGTTAAGGAAGAAACAAGCTAATGAGGTAAAGAACCCATATATCATACGAAAGAAACAAAATTCTCTTCGTTGTGGTAAATGCCACAAATTTGGACACAACTCAAGGTCTTGCAGTGCTTCAATGAAAGTTGCAGGCAATGGCAGCGGAAAAACTAAGACAAAGGTAAGATTATCTTGTATTTCATCATGTTAGTAGATGCACATATGTGTTTAAATGTTTACTAACATATACAACTTATTTGTCATAGGCACATGATTCGGGAAAGAAAAGAAGTGTTGCAAAAACTATGAGTAGCTCACAACCAATTTTTGGATCTGGGAGTAGTTCGCAGCTAATGACAGATACTACCAGCAGCTCACAACCAACCAAAGAGAATACAAGCAGCTCGCAGCAAATTAAAGGGACTGGGAATAACTCGCAACCAGAAAAGAAATGGCATAGCTCTGTAATTCAAAGTGGTGAAAGAGTAAGGAAGAGTATCAATATCAGTGGCAGTGGACTTCCACCTCCCAGTGGGTCTGCAATTGGATTATCAAGAGTTTGGAATGTACTGGTTCGGGAGGTCCCAAAGGCATTGGGATGCTTGCAAGGTCGAAGATGAAGAAGAATGACAAGAATCCTAGTGATGAAAATGGGAAAGGCAGCTCTGAGGGAGGTGAGTGGAGCATGTTTTGACTTTGAACTATATTGGTGTTGTTATCACACTTTTTTGTTTTGTAGTGTACGGCACTTTAGTGTTGTTTAGAAATCAACCCATCTTTTGTGTTTTGTTAGGCATGTAATGACCTAATGTATTCTCCAACACAGAGATGTGCTATTGCCTGAAATGATGTGTTGTTACTTAGTATGTAATGAAATGGATGTTGCATTCTACTATTTCAATAGGTCTTGCATTTCACATATTGCATTTCACAGACTAGTCGTTACACATCATGAGATAAACAACTATGAATACAATAATGATTGCATATATTATCTTCTCCTTCCTTCTTATGTGTTTAATCTCATTCTCAAGCTTTGTCGTCTTGCGCGTGAAACCAACTATGATATTTCTTTCCCTGTCTGTCATCTTTGGTTCATATCAGTCAAAATATGTGCAAGATGACTTTCCCTGCACTTTTGAAAGTAAAGGTTATATCAACATAGCAATTGTAGAAAACATGAAAAAATAGTTGATAAAGAAGTACCAGTCTTGTAGTTGGGACAGCTATAAAATCTTCTTCTTGGGTTGTTTTCTGTCCATGATGTCTTCACATTGCATTTTAGTCCACATAAACACTCTTTCTTACTTTCTCCATGTACTGATGATTGGCTTGAAGCCATTTTTCTGGTGTAAGCACAGTGGCAAAAGAAGTATAATATTGTGGGTTGGTGTGTATTTGTGGAGAGAGAGAGAGAGAGAGAGGGAGAGTCAAAAAAGTATTGCTTTTCGTGGAGCAAAAAAAAAAACAGGTACAGAGAAGAGGAAGAGGAAGGCTAACAGCAGTCATGGCCATGAAAAAGAAATTTGCTTCTGTTAAATAAGACATCTCCAACAGTTGGGAAGGGTGGTTTTGTCATTTTCGACCTCATAAGGGTAGAATGGTCTCAAATGGTTTTGTATTTTTTTTTTGGCAGATGAATTTAAAATGTTATCGTTACTTTTGACAGAGGCCAGCTAATCTGTCAATCGTTTTGCTCATTTTAAAACTTGAAGGGGGCAAATTGTTTAATTTTAAACCAAAGGGATCTAATTAAAACAAGACTCATAGTTCAAGGTGGCATTTTGTAATTAACTCTAAATTTTATTGTGTCTTCATATTCATCTAAGCAAGTGCATTTGTCTGCAAAAATGATACTCATCCATTGATTAATATTACATATTTAGTTGTTAATTGTCATGTAATTAGAGTTTTTTGATACTGTAAATAAAGTATCTTATGTACTAAAATATTTGAAAACTTAAAGGTGACATAAGAATTTCGAAAACCTAGAAGGAAATAAAGGATATTTTGCAAAATTTGAAAGGGTCATGGCCCCTTCATGGCCACACTTTAGCTATGTCACTGTATGTAATCATTGATAACCACACACATTAGTTAAACTCAAATTTTCTATGGCCCAAAAAACTGGTGCAGGTTTACACCTCATTCATTTGTCGACCACTGAAGCAACCCGTGCAAGTTTTAAAGACGCATGTGTTATGGAAATTGGGCAGATACTACATCGTAGTTGAAGTTCTTTAGATCTTGTAAATGCAATTCAAACAGCTATTAGCTAATTTTGAAACCTAAAAGCACTTTCACAACGTACGACATTAAAAGATTATACCAGGGGAATGACTACGGAATCAAAAATAAAAATTAAGTACTCTACTAGTCAATATTATTGTTGAGCGTCAAATTCCTCGTAAAAAAACAAGTTAAAACTATTCATGATCAGTCACAATATTTTTTTATCACCATTGTAATCAATCATGAATACTCTCGATCAGTAACGAAGGTTACTTGGTGGCCAAGGGACCATGGCTTCCCTCGTATTTATAAAATTACTCTATACTCTCCCTTAGATTTTAAAATTTTGTATATCTACAAAGACATTTTATGTAGTGTATTCAAAAATCTTAAAGACCTAGCATTTAACAACAAAATTGGGGATATTGACTAGATTAACTAGTGTTGTTATTGCATACGAAAACACTTGTTAGGATAAGTTTGATAACCAAAAATAAAAAATAAAAGGTGCTACAATATTGATTTAGATAATTAAATAATACATTGATTCACGATTAACTTTTACGTTAGTATTGTGTGATATTTATAATTATGATGATGTGTATAATTCATAATTATTACATCATGTCAAAGGAATAAGTGAATAATTGTAGTGCCACAAACTAATATTCGGAGATAATTATTTTTTGAATTTTATTATCTAAATCAATTTTTACATATAGTAACGGAAAAATTGAATTTGATAGCTTCTATATAAATAAAAATATGCCATTAACAGTAATATCGAATCACCCATTCAGTAAAAATTTTAATTGTGTTACTATTTCTATTTGGCCTGCTCTAGACCTGTCCTTGCTCTCAATCAAATGTAGCTTAAATGGCCTAGACAACGAAAAAAAGATCCTGATACTTCAACTAAAGGAGCGAGCGACCAGTTGGTTGACGAAACCCTAACCTAGTGTCACACGTTCTCCAGGCCTGAAAGGATCCAGTGCCCAACTACCGAATCCTCCCAGAATTGCATTATGGGAGCTAAGCAATATAAATTAGAGTTCAGATCCAATCACAATCAATTCTTTTAAATCGATCATAAAAAAAAAAAAAAACCAAATTCTAATTGGGTTCAAATTTATGTTGGAATTGGATCATCACACGACCTGTAGAAATCCCTACACGTCAGTCAGATGACAAACATTCTCTCAAGGTTCAAGTTTTCATCAAGAAGGTTCCAGAATTAAGAGAGCAGAGTAAGAAATAGTGTCCTAACAATGAAGTCCGACAGAGACATCATATAAATCATCAACTTTCCATGGATGAGTAGAATCCCTTGATACATCTATCGAACAATCGAAGAAAACCACAAAAAGAGACTATTATTAATAAATATAAGCTATTGGCCTTAATGACAAACTGCTCGAAAAAAAAATTAACACTCTTCTACAACAATCCATCAGCTGATTTCAGAAGAATATAAACTAACCCTCATTTGTTTGCTCAACCCACAAAAAGCTTGAGTGCTCAAATGGAAAGTATCACCTAGGTAAACAACGTTTATAAAACGATTTAACCACCATCATCGACACCTCCAGGAGGTTTGTCAAGATCGAATATCTTGCTTTACTATCAATCTCAGACACTATGAATCCAAAATTCTAAAGATATATTTAAACTAAACAGAAAACTGGTACAAACTTATGGTCAAAAATCGAGGGGAAAATGCTTTCGTGAGGTGTAATGTAACCTTACTGGTTCCTATCTTCGAGGCAAAAGAATCGAATTTGGACACATGGACCATCTCAAGCCCATTAGTCACCTTACCAGCAGATAAGAAAACTTACACAGCAGTTTTCTTGTTCCTGAAGCTCTCCTTTAGCAGTGTAAACTTCTTCTTGCACTGGATAACAGATTTTCCAGGAACTGCAGCTGCAACTCGTTCCCAGCGCTGGCTAGTGTCCTTTGGGAATGTTTTTAGAGCTTGAACAAGTGCTCTCTCGTGAACCACGGACCACACATCTTGGTCTGAACTGGATGAAACCCCATTTGCAACATCTTCTGAGTTTTGGTGGTCTGTAGTTTGGCCAGAAGACTCCTTCACATCATCCATCTTAGCAGCATTGCTTTCAGGCCCATTGCTGGAAGATACCCCCTGAACTTCCTCTCTAGTCGTCAGAGGAGACGCAATGGACTGTGCAGGCTTTCTCTTTTCAAGGAAGGAGTCAAATGCTTTAGCAGAGTCAGGTTTCTGGAGAAGAACTGTTTTGGTTGCCTTCAGAATCTCTTCAACTGATCTTCCAGTCCCCATGTACTCTGAAATAACCTCCCACCTCCGAGATGTTCCTTTCGGATACTTCTGCATCCCTTTTCTCAGGAGCTCAATCTCTTCTCTGGCCCAAGGTTTCTCCTTTTTCTCAAAGCTGATGAATGGCAAGTTCCCACTAACCTCCAAAGAACCATTTTGTCGTGAGGTGTTCTTCCCATGTTGTTTACCCTCATCCAAGTCACTATTACGCCCCAGTGCCTCTCTGAGAAACTCTGCTCGCCTTTGTTCTTCTATTCCCTCCATTTTGTTACATAAATTTCTCAGTTGCTCGATATCCAGTGACATACAAAGACTTTCCACATCGTCGTCCGTAAGATCCAGCAAATGCTTAGACAAAACAGGCACTGCAAGTGTTCGGAGACGAGTACGCTCTTTACGCAACAGCTTCTTCTCTTTCTCCTTCACCTTCTTCTGATGTAAAGCAGCTTCAGCAGCTTGCTTTTCCTCCTTCTCTTTCCTACGTCTCTCCTCCTCAGCAATTCTAACTGCTTCTTCTTCCTGCAATTTCTTTGCCAGAAGTTTAGCTTCCTTTTTCCTCAGCTTCTCGGCTTTCTCCTCTTCCTTTCTTCTCAAAATTCTGGGGTCCTTTTTGTAGGCATTGTCCACAAGAGCACGTACACGTATGGATTCCTCCTTCCTAGCTTTCTCTGAAAGCTTTGCATTCTGCCTTTCCATCCATCTTTTATGGTCACGGGATTCAGCTTGCTCCAGATCAAACTCATCAGCATGTGGGAACTCCCTCCAGCTTTTAAAACTGTACCAAAAGTTATAAAAACTGTCCACTTCTTTAAGTGGAGTACTCTCATCTCCCAAAGAAGGGACAGTTTGGCTAACTGACCAGCGCCCATTTCTTGTAAAGGCTGGTCCAAATACCTTGAAGAAGTCCTGCGGTGCACAGTCGGTGGGAATTTCATCGTCAAACTCATCTGTAGAGTCATAAATTCGTCTCCTCACAGGATCAATCAACACCTCATATGCTTCTTGAATGGCCTTGAAGTGGTTCTCTATTTCATCTTTCTTTGCTTGTTTCGCAGCTTCAGTTTCTTCTGCAAGAAGAAGTGCAGCCTGCTTGTCCGGATGATGCTTTAAAGCAGTCTCACGATAGCTCTTTCTTATCTGTTCCTCAGTAGCAAGATACCTTAAATGCCCCAAACCCAGTAACGCATAATGATCCTGTAGCTTACCTTCAGAACCAGATTTCTTTTTACCTTTAGTGCTGTATGAATCCGATGACTGCACAGATGCCTGGCCCTTATCAGTGGGCACATTATGATCATCACTATCTGCATGTTCTTCTTCACACCAACCAAGAAGCCTAAGAGCAGCAGAGTGAAAAGCATGGCCAGCAGGTTCGAATTTAAAAGCCTTGATTGGAAGGCAATTTGAGGAGACATATATTGGCTCTCCATCTACAATCTCTTGTGAGTAAGAAATAAGCATAGTACTTGTCTGGGCAGCCATAAAGTTTAAGTAGCGAGTAACCCAAAAAACAGCGGACAGTAAATATGAACACTATGCAGGAATTGATATCCAACTATAGAGCTTCACTTTAGTCCGGCACTCTTCTGGAATCATCAAATATGAACAATACATGCATTAGACCGATACATAAAGATGATAAAACTTACAGGAGTGAAAAGTTAATAGCAAGTGTATAAGTGCACGGCGCACATAGAAAAACAAAACACCATATGCTCATGCATTACAAGACATAGCCCAAGCCGGATTAATGATAGGAATACCAAATAGCCTAAGGAATGACGCACATACAGAACCAGGAGAGAGAGCATATTACTTATCCTCAACAAAACTTTTCTGGGTTGTAGTAGGTAACAATTCAAGAGCCTCCACTATCAATATAAAAAGACTCAACCCAACTCAACAAAGCTTTTATCCCAACTATTGGGGTTGACTATATAAATACTGTTTCTCAACAAGATATGTATGGCATTTTAATCTCACCTTTAACATGCCATAAATATCTTGTTGAGGAACATGATTTATGTAACTAACCCCTATAACACCATTTGGAACAAGAAGTAACAAGTGCTAGCCACAACACATACACTAAGATATATTACTAGCGGGGCAAATTCAGTGCAGTGCCTTGTGGAATGACAATCAACAATACTATCCATCACTGACACCGTGAACATACTTTTAGAAAGTAAGCACTTCCTAACTCTTAAGCAGTAAGACGTGCTGAAGAACCTGAAGATAGATGTAGAATAATTTCAATTTGCGACCACCACCTTTAAAATATAATAAGCAAAAATGAGAAAGCAGCAACACATGCTTAAAACCAACAACACAGTTGGTGGATGTGCATCATCTCTGGGAGATCAATCCAGTTCCCACAGTCGGATTTTTTTCCTATATAGCTAACACATTAGTTTGTTCAGTACAAGTTCCACAGCCAGTTGTATTCAATACCATTAAACAACTCCACTTAAGAGTAATCACTCTATAATACAACTGATTCCTTAACGATATTAAACGTATGGTAAAAAAAAAATGTTGAACAAAACTATGCAAAAGAAGACTATTGACCCATCATATCATCATATTAACTAAGTCTTAGCATCAAGTGTATCATCTCATTTCTGTATCACTTTCAACTTTACTAAACTACCATCAACTTCTTCCCCTCCCCCTCCCTTTTGCTACCAAAGAATCATCAACTTATTGAAGTTGATATCTGCATTCAAAAGTAGCATGACAAATAATTATTGTCAAAAGGAAATCACAAGATATATTAATTAAAAGGAAAAAAAATTAATGGGTATTAACTATTAAGTAATTTTCAGAGATTCTCTACAAACAGCGGAATACTTGATTAGCATTGACAACCTTTTATCCGATATTCTGAATATTCAACTACGTTAAGCAATTTCAGTTTTTGATTGAATTTCTTATAAAAGTCAATGATGAGTCCAGAGGTTTATGCGATTAATGGCAATGGTGAGGTCTGACCTGACTCCGTCCGATAGCACCCTCGATTACCGGAGACCAAACAGGGTTATGATATTTTCTAATCTTTCCACATTTTTTAAGTCTCGGAAAACAGTGATATGTGTGGTTAATAAATAGCAACCATGTCACGTAGAAACTTCAATCACGCATCCTTCAAATTAACACATTTATATATACATACGGTAAAAACAATTCCCTGAAGAACATCTCATGCTAGACAAATCGAAAAAACAAAATAGAAAGAATCGGAAGAACACAGACAGTAATTCTTACGATATATCTGTGGTTGCGTGATGGAAATATTTACCTTTTTTTCTCTCTAAATCGGCCTCTTCGATCGTTGAGAGACAGAGAAACGGAATGAAAAGAGTTCTAGGGTTTTCGTCTCCTCTATACGGCAGAGCAAAGTAGAGAGGAGAGAGAAACCGAAAGGAAAGAACAATTGGCAACAACAATTTGTATTCATATCGACCTTGTATCAGGTTGGTTGATATATAAACAGGAACGGACGGTTTAGATAGGATGAGTGAGCTAATCCAAAGGCTGCAGTTCTACGGATCGGAATGGAGCGGGTTTTGTAGATGGATACCCCAGCTTTCTCCGGGTTCAGAAATGGGTGGACCATTTTGGAGCTTCGAAATTGGCTTATTGGGGGTTATTGCAGTCTTTCAAAAATGATGGGTGATGGCCATGTAATTCAAGCATATTAACAATAACTCATACACGGTGTAATATAAATTTTAACGTTCAAAAAATTGATTTCACTAAATTATTATGCGAGAATTAAAATAATACAATTGTGATTTAGGGCATGATTATGGAGTTCAAGACCCAAACAACTCGAATTCATAACCTAAGACTTGTACCATACCCTCCCCCAGGGCCACGGGCTAAGGATTGGGACCTGAAACTCATAATAAGACTCAGTTCAAACTCATAGTTTTTTGAGTTTATGAGTTTTAAAATATGATACAATTCATTAACACGATACAAAATTAAAGGGTTTAAATCTTCTTTAATCCACATGTTTAGTAAACAAATGATCTAAATAAGACACGATTAATAAATGAATCGAGTACGGATAAAGTTAATCAGAAAAAAATACACGACATGACTCGTTTATATACTAGTTATATAAGGTTCATATATAAAACGAATCGAATATGACATAATTCATTAGACACGAATTAATAAACGAATCAAATACAAGTAAAATATTTTTTAACACAAACTCACTAAAACTCAACATAAACTCACTTCACCCGACATAACTAATATGCCTACTTAAACCCTCCGAAACGAGCCCTCGATTTGAAATCGGACTTGTTCCCAAGCCAGAAGCCTAACCCCAGATGTTGGCCCATTCTTTGACCCACCCTTGGATCTCAAACCCCGACGTGAGGCTCGAATTAGAACGTGGATTGTAGATCCATTCTCAAACCAAGTATAGGACCAGCTACCCAAGTGGAAGTGGATGCTGGGGGTGGCCGTGGGGTGGGGCTGGGGGGTGGTTGAGAGTGGGTAAATGACTAGACTTAGACTCTTGGATTACGTATTGTATGATAACAATTGATTTTCATTATCTGAGCTAAACATTACAATGAACATTACTTTGTTATCATGCTCCATTTTCTTGCAATCATTCCCACCATTTTTTTTTATAATTATTTTAAAATTTAAATTTAAATTATTTAAGATATAAATAATATCATATTAACACTATATATAGATTTCGAAATCAATATTGTAATTTAACAATCGTTTCTTTCGAATATCAATTTCCAAATTTCAATCAATAATGGTTAAATCTATACGACATACATGAACACATACTTCGCAAGCAATGTATTTATCATATTCAAAGTAGATTTGGGCCCGAAAACATTATGATATTATCAATTTTTTATGAGGGTATTGAATAGTTACAATGTAAACGATTTGTATTGGATAAGGTAATCTTGCAATCTTGACCAATGTACCTTGCAGTTCGTACCGTTTTATTGGTCATAATTTATAAACTCAATTATCATAGTTAGATATTGTCTAATGATATTATGATTATAGAGAGTTTGATAGTAAGATAATGTTAGAAAAAAAAATAATAATTTTATGTGCATCGCATGGAATGTCCACTAATATCCAAATATTGAACTCATAACTTACATAATGCTACGATTAGATTTATTAAAATGCGACACGGCATGATTAAACGATACAAACTTGAGCATTTTTTTTGGTGAAGTTTTAACCCGATTAGAACCAATACGAACCTTCTTAACCCTACATGTTCGACACCCACGACCAAAAATTTGCTCCATGCTCGGCCATTGGATTAGGCCATGAAAGCGGTCCCTAAGATCCCAAATTTTTAGGGCTACTAACCAAGTGTTAGAACAAGTTTAATTGAGTCTAATGTTATTTTATGAATCTTAAAATAAAATTTAATAACCCAAAGTTGAATCAAAGCCCAATTTAATATTTAAGGCCTAATTTTTTTTTAAAAACTTTGGTTCAATTGAGTTTAGTTTTATTTTATGGATATCAAATAAAATTATTGGACCCAAGTTTGGTTATATCCAATATTGATGTGATGGCCCCCTAGAAAATTGATTGGAAAGGGAGAGTTTTAGGCATGCTCAATTAAACTTAACAGTACTCCTAAACTAAAATGAGACTAATATATTTCATAATACTAAAATTTATGTTTGGAACTGACCATAGATAAATATATTATAGAAAAATTTAATTTCAATTATTGTTTGTTGTTGTTTTTTAAAGTTGAATTTTATATTTATTTCGAGTTCAATTGAGTTTATATATTTTTTTTATGTAGCTAATGATAATATAAAACAATACTTGAGTGTCTAATATTGAGTTTAGGTATTATTAGACATTAATTTTTCATTTTTAATGTTTGAGATGAATATAAAATTAAAGAAATCTTTATTGGTATTATATATTATTAGACTTTGAATGAATTAATAATATTATATATTAAAAAAAGGTATGTGAACAAAATTTTAATAGAAAATTTTAACCAACACTTTTATATCTCAAAAACTACTAAATATTTTTTGCACAAAAATAATCTAGTACTTAAATAATGGATAGCATTATTGTTATGAGTTTTTTTTTCACATTTTTGTAATTGAAATATTTTAAAATTATTACTTTATACCTTAATAAATGAAATTACTCACATTACACTTTTAATATATTAAAATTATTATAATTAAAATTATTACTTTATACCTATATTAAAATTATTATAATGTGACAGTTCTGTTAATTTTTATTATATTATTTTTTTGGTAAAAGATCAACTATTGAGGCGGACAAAAAAACTAACAAAAAACATACAAAAGGATCATACTGTAATATTTTTGGTATATTGTGGGTATAATATAAAAGATTTAATTTTAAGAGCACAAAGTGAGAATTGTAAAAGTTTTTAGGGTATAAAGTGAAATTACCCTATTTTTATTATTATCTGTCACAATTACGCAACAGAACTTCATTCTCTTTCGCCTACTATCCTCTCAACTCAACTCTTCTGTTCTCTTCTCTTCTCTTCTCCTCTCTCTATGTCCGGCACGCTGAGAATTTCATTGGGTCGCCATGCAACCAAACTGTCACATAACCATCACCAGGTTTGAATCTTAACGTTCCATTTTTTGTTTTTCCCCCTAATTTTCCGTAAAAATCCATTTCTTGCTGAATGCTTGATTTTAAATTCCATTCACTGTCAAGGGTATCAGTGAATTCTATGGCAACAGCATTCCTAAGGTTTCCACTGGCTTGTACTTGAGGAAGAAACCGAAGCAATTCGATTTGGATCATCTTCGAGTGTGCTCAGTAAATGGCGACAATGATGTGAGTTTATACTTTGACAGCAATTTGTTTGCTATGATGACCAAATTAGAAAACGGGTACAGGAAAGGCATAAGCCCAGTCTTCCCCCCGTGATTATCACTTTTAAAAAAAATGAAAATACAATTTTACTGATTTTTTTTGAAAGTGGAGACCTAAGAAGACGATGTATTATTGTGTATTAAGTATTTGTTTCATAAATCATTGTTTTATTCTAATTCTTTTACATTATTTTTTGCATATTTATATGTCATGTAATGTGAATTTGCTACCGAATCTCATGATTCCTGGTTTGATTTTATTTGATTATTGATTGGAGAATAAAAATTTTGATTCACAATGCAAATCCCGATTTGACAACTATGCTCGTAACTATTCGATTATTAACTGTTGTTATCATCAATTGTGAGTTCTATAGATAATTCATAAAGGTTGACACATGGACAGCAGATTACCAGTTTGCGGCAATTTTGAAATAAAATTACCAAATTACTGCACTTTTGAAATTATTAAACAAATTACGGCACTTTTGAACTTATTTACCATAATACGACACTGTTGAACTTTTTAACTTGTTTCTAAACTGTTGTTGATTGGTAAATACCTCCATGGACAATCACTTATGTTGTTTTTTCACTCTGCGAAGGTGACAAATAGAAGCACCTACCTATCACTAAAAGTATTTGCAAATGCAATATATTGCTGTGTTAGTTCACAAATTTGGAATTGCCTGTGCTTGACAGTTTGTTCATATTGAATTCCAGTGGTCTATCCTTTGACCAAATTCCCTGAGATTTAATATATTTTTGTTAGTTTTTATCAAAGTTAATGGAGCGTGAAGATGCTGCAATCAATTCGTTTTGGAGTCTCTTTGTACTTTCAATTTGACGTGTTGCTTATGTTTTTCTTTGCTGCAAGGGTAGGCTTCTGGGATGTCAAATTTTGCCAATAGCTCTGTAGATCATGAAGGTATTGCCGTGTATAAATGTAACTATGAATGCAAATTTTCTTGTGATGTGTTATTTTACCTTTTATATTACATCAGTTTAGGATCAAAAAATGTATCAATTAAAGGTTCTGAAAATTATACCTTTTTATATTGTTTTAGGTTCAACTGGAAAAATAGAAAATCGCCAAGGAGAATCACTCAAGTCCAACAAGTACTTACTACTTGCCTTACAATGTTTTTTGGTCAATACTAAAGGCTGCTGATTTTTAATAATAATGTGATGATGGTGTTGTTTTTCTAATTAAAGATTCTCTTATTTCTACTCTCAATTATGATATCTGCATATGGTGGCTACTGGCTACATTTTGATCTGGTTATTTAACTACTAGACAGATAGAATGCAAGCTGTACTGGAAAGATCATCCTTGATCCTGTAGTTATATTATATCTGGCCAATCTCTTGGGTTGATGAAAATTATTTCTCATATTTTACATTTCCCAAACTCAGGTGGGCTTGTATGTGGGAATGGTACAAGGAGAACTTGTAGAAGAGTGTTGGTGGAGCCTCAGGATCAGATAATTATAGAAGTATATTGTAATGAAAGAATTAGCAGGCATGGAAGGTGAATAAATAACTGTAATGTGTTGAAATTAGAACATTAAGGCATGGTTGAAAGAGTAAATTATTGCTGCAGAAGGTGGGATATTATCCTGGTAAATCCTGCAAGCTAAAGAAGATGTTTACTTATCAGAAAAGATTGAGGTTTTAGAAAGCTAGGTTATTCAGCCTTATGTATGCGAGCCGTTTATTCACATTCCAGATACCACGGGCCTAGATGGCCTGACGTCTTTGGTACTTGATGAGTGGACGAGATATACTAAAGAAATTGAATGCATGGAGCTAGGAGTTACGAACCCAAGAGAGAATTATGTGAAGAAATTGTGTTCAACATTTTTCTTTAAATTAAGTACATTCAATCAAGAGTATAAAAAGGGATTTTGGATGAATATTTGGTTCATAATGATGTGGAATCATTATGCTTTCTGATTCCTTGATTTTTAGACACAGAAAGACAAGTAAAAAGGGATAGTTCAATACCTCTTAACCTGAACATACATTCTGATTTCCTTTGGGAAAGTTGTGTACTTATGCTTTATGAATAGTACAGAAAGTTTATCAGTAGAGTTTGATTCTACAGCAACTTTACTGTAAGTCCAAAAGCATTAGCTTTTCCATTGGTAGGACCTAGAATAATCAAAATAGATTCCAAACCTAACCAGTGTTGACTAATCCACAACCACATGTATTTGATGATGAAAAGCTTATCAGTTGATTCTTCTAAGAAAACCTAAGATACACCCGTTGATCATGCAATTCTGGTTATATGGTCACAAGTTTCTTTTGCTTGTAAATATTGTAGGCCTTGGGTAATTTAGATGAAATTTTTGCTATGACATAGTGTATTGTTGTGATAGAGAAGATTTAGTGAGATTCACTCTCTATCAGGCTCGTGTTTTGATGTTTTGTATGCTTTCTGCCATATTTATTACAAAGCCATTGGCGCTGGATATGTTGATATTCTCTTCATAATTTAATGTTCTTGAAACATTTTTCGGTTTATAGAAGAACATGTGAGTTATAAACAATGTGGAAGCTTCTGTTTTTTTTTTTTTGAGATCTTTATTGAACTTCTCAGGATTTTGAAGAGGTTGAGGAGATATGGAATTTCAGGAATATTGTCTTATGGATTGCTAAATACTGCATACTATCTTACTACATTTCTTTTGGTGTGGTGAGTGGAATATTATATTACTATTGCCAAATGAGTTAGCTGTTATTTTGGCAAAATCATCTCAATTTTCCAATTTTGTTGATTGTTAATATATTGCCATTCCTCACATATGATGGGACTTCTTCTTGGCTACAACTTCACCCTGTTCAACTTGAACACCATTTTATCTACAAATATGCAGCCAAATAAAAATGTGCCCTGATGTAATCATTTTTCCTTTCAAATGACTTGATGGAAATATATAAGCAAAATGAAGAGTTTTTGGTATTGTTGTGAAATGATAAGTCGATGTGACTTGTCCTGTTGCATACTTCCGATTTAGTATTGGTACTCTCAGACCTCGACTGAACTAGCTACTGAAGCAAATAAACCTTTTGCATTAGCACAAGAGGTTGAAGGTAGAGAAACTGAAATGACGCAACTCATGATGCTATTATTAAAGGTATAATGCCCAGTGACATTAGAAGTCCACCTAACAGGCTAACAGTAACAGAATCGGGCAAAAGGAGAATAATACAAGGAAAGGTGAGCACCATGATGCAAAAATAACATAAGGGGTGAAATAATTGTAAACCCAACTTATAAGAAATGGCTTCAGCCCCAAATTACGGCAGCCGTTTATAAAATTTGAAATTCTCTGGATATTGATAATGAGTGCAAATCCAAACAATATCTTCAATGGTAAGGCTTGTGGTATGGTATATAGAGTGGATAACTGTGCACATATATTCCTTGCATATAAGACTTGTTCTTTTCTTTGGCCACATAACATCCTCATGCTTATCAATCAGGACATTAATGCTGATGATGTTTCCTGAGCATGTTAATATTTTCTTTGGCAACCTTGGACAGCCATTATCAGTGTCATCATTTATTCTTTCAACCAGTGTTACTAATGGAAGCCAACTTACGTTATAATCAGTCATTGAACAAAAATTTACTTTAGTATTTACGTGTGCGCCTTAAGATAACTCTATACCTACATAATTCTTTTGCTTGCTAAATTTGATGATAAGTTGTTATAATTGTTTGGAATTTTGGTCGCTTTTCTAACAATGACAGAAAATAATTCGAAATATTTGAAAGATGAACTCATTAGGATTTATCATTCATGGGTAGAACCACTGTTTTTTCTTGTTTTACTTTGTTGGTCTTGTTTTAATTGTCTCAGTGAGTTTTGACCAAATTTTATAAATAAAGGTTGGCCTTCTGTCTATTTAATGAAGCCACAACATTGAAATTTATTTCTCTCTGACATGCATTGCCCAACTAAATGCCCAACTAAATCTGCTTCTTCTGTTCCTCTTTATGGTATACTAAATTTGTTTTCTTCTTGGAGAGAAGTCTGTGGGGAGAAATAGACTACCGTTTCAAAAAAAATGTGACATCCATATTAACAAATTTTTTGCCCGAAGGAGTATGAATACATTTGTAACCCTTTTTGTGTAGGAGAGTAACCAAGAAAGATGCATTTGGTTATTTTAGGTTCTAACTTACTTTGTAGCTGACGAGGAACATGAATAAAGCAAACACAACCATACACCCAAGGAAGAACTGAAAAAAAGTTAGAGGAAGAGGAAGAGGAAGAAAAAGAAGATAATACCTCAACTTGTGACTCTAAGTTTAGAACTTGAGAAGACATTCGATTGATAAGATATGATGAGGTAAGTATGACATTTCCCCAATATAGCTTTGGAACATTCATAGAAAACATTAAGGCCCTTGTAACTTCTAATAGATGTCGATTCTTTGTCTCAACAATTCCATTTTGTTGAATTGTATCAATACAAATTTTTTGGTAGATAATACAATGATTAGCAAAATAGGACCGAAGTCCTCAATAAACATACTCACCCCTATTATCGGAATGAATAGTTTGTACTTGAGTATGGAATTGGGTATGTACCATCTTGTAGAATGTCTGAAAACAAGAGAATACTTTATTTTTTTCTTTCAACAAGTAAACCAAATTGATATGAGAAAAATCATCAATAAATGTCACAAAATATCTACAACCCGACAAGCTAGCACCCTAGGAAGGTCCCCAAACATTAGTATGAAGAATGAATAAAAGGCGATGTATTTTTATTGGAACTAATACGAAATGGCATACGATGGTGTTTTGCAAGTTCACATACTTCACAACAAAATTGAAAGATCTTCAGCCTAGAAAACAAAGAAGAAAATATTTTTTGCAACAAAAGAAATGAAGTATGTCCTAATCTCCAATGGAGTAGCCAAATCTGCTCCTTAGAAGTATCACTTCTTTCTAACTTATGAGCTTGTATAATGATAACATCGTCTGACTCTTGAGAATTCAAAAGGTAAAGATTATCTCTCTCCTCACTGCTGCCAATAATCTTCCTTGTGAGAAGGTCCTGAAATACACAATGTGAAGGGAAAAATGTTACAGTACAGTTTAATTTCATGGTAATGCCATTGGCCCACTAATAGAAAGAAGATTGTTCAAAAGATTAGGAACGTGTAAAACATATGAGATAGATAGAGAGAAAGTGATTGGAATAGAACTTTTACCGGCTATAGATGATAAGGAACCATAAGATATTTTAACATGTTTTCCTCAACAAGCAGTACATGTTGAAAACAAAGTGGATAGTCCAATCATATGGCCAGAGGCACCAGAATCAATTGTCTAGGGGTAAGAAAAAATATTACATGATACACTCAATGTTGTAAGAAAGTTACCCGAATGGGTAAAAGAAGTGGATGCAGTGGTAGGTGTCCAGCTTCGATATAAGGTGACGTATATTCTCTACTTCCTCTTTAGTAAGAACCATTATATCTGTTGTAAAGGATGGAGCAAGACCAAGACCAGGTGAAGAAGTCTCCATTGCATCACTAAGATGGGCTCGAGACCCTCCTCTATTGCCTAGTCGTCCTTCTCTACCTCCAAACAGAGGACGACCACATAATCTCCATCAAGTCACTCTATTATATCTTGACTTGTGGAAATAATCACAATACAACTTATCTTTATCATCAGATGCAACATCATTTGCACGTCCTCTCTCAACTTTCTTACTTGCCAACCGACCATCTTGAGAAGCAAAAGTGGCATGTAATCATTGAATTCTCATCCTCCTACTTATCATAAAGTAGATCATCAGTCTTTGGTTCCTCAGTTTTTTCAATCAAATAACCCATCTTTACCTTACTCTTAACAACAACATAGCCGACTGCAACTAGATAAGGTAATTGTGGCCGTCAAGTTTCATTGTCTATAGGTTGGAATTTTCATCTTGAATCCCAATCTAACTTACAACATTTTTTGACTGCTTTTGAGAGACGTGCTGCGTTCCATCATGTTGAATCTGATTTCTACGTCTTTTTAAAGATCAGACACACGTCAAATAGTTGAAAAAGCTTAAAAAAACAACAAGAAACACAACTAATATATCAAACTTAGGTTTAATCAAACATGAAAATCACAAAAAAGGGTGAAATCACCGCCAGAGCACAAAATGTAACTATTGTTGAACAAAAAAATGTCTATCGCCCCTTTTGAAGCCATAAAACTCTAAAAAAAATTCAGATCACTTGGCAACCCTTGGGCATTCAAAATCGGCACCCATCATGCTTATTACAAACAACAAATCCCTCCAAAGAAAGGTTGAAAATTGCATATTTGAAAAAATTAACCTTATTTTCCCAAAAATAAAAAAAAAATCGGATGAAGCACCAAATAATGTCAAAAAAAGCTCGAAAAATCATAGATAAACTCTACTTATCAAGTTGACTAAGTTATTGATCTTTAATTTTTTTTTCTTTTTTGGTAGATAGACAAAAAAAATTGGACAAAAAAAATTGAGAAAGTGGGAAATGCTCCTTCTTGCATACCAAAAAATAAAGTTGGTTGTATTCCGTGTGTAGTTGGATCTGAGAATCATGAAACCTGCTTTGATACCATGTTGAATTAATGTAAAGAGAAAGAGAAAAAATAGAGAAGAGAAAAAGAAAAAAAAAGAAGAAAAGAAAAATGGTTGAGAAAAAGAGAAGAGAGTTAGGGTTTTTCATGATCATGAAAAAGTATCGTTTGTAATAGAGATACAAATAAAATGCTAAATAGCTTCTAACACATACAAACATATTAATAATCATGAAATTGGAATTCTTAATTGAGAATAATTCATGGAATAAGAGTGTTTGAACTTCAATGGAACTAATGAGTTCCATAGATTTGGAATTGTAATAGAGTAGTTTAACTGATGAGTTCCATCGGGATTCTTAAACGAGTTCTGTAGATTTGGAATTGTAATAGAGTAGTTTAACTGATGAACAGAAGATACCTCACAGTTACCATTTTGGTGTTTGGAGTTAATGATGTGTGGTGTAAGACTGGGGAGAATTCCTAAAAGTATTAAAGAGGATGAATGAAGTTGAGAAGTGCTTCTAAAGTGTTTATGTTTCTCTTTTTATTGTACAATTAATGAGTTTTTCAAAATGTTCCCCCCCCCCCCCCCCCCCCGTCTTTTATTGGGAGAATCTTCCCTTGCTATACATCTTCAAATTTTATCCGGATAAAAAATATGTAGAAGATTGTTGTTTGTGAAGTTACTTGCAAGTAGTAATTTTTCTGTGCCATATCATAAATCAATTTTCTGCTGGGGTTGCTGGTGATAAGTGGGCATGATAGCCGCACCCTTTATTTAAAAGTACTAAAATGCTGCTCCAGTAAACTGTTGCACATTGCGTGACAATTGACATTCAAAATCATGTTCACTTATAACTGAAACTAAATTCAGTGGATATCTAAGTTCATCAAGTACACAACAACCACAGCATCCAGGAATGATATTGTTTAGAGTCAACTACTTAAGTATTTGTAAATCGCCTTGTTTTTTCTGTTTTTATTCTACAAGTTCACCTGTGCATGTTATGAGATTATTTAGCTAACTTATGTAGATTCATTTCATTTGCTTTATAGGTTTTATGTTGCTCCAGCACCTGGAAGAATGGGTTATTTTGCAGCTGTTAAAAGGTGACCACACATTCTGTAATGTGGCAGGGAGTTTTTATTGAATGAACTCTGTTGTTTTGCAGGTTTCTCAAAGTAATGGCCATGGTGTGGGCTGGAAGCCAAGTTACTAAGCTTCTCAGAGCCGGAGGGTGAGCTGCTAAACTATAGTTTTGCATTCTTACTTTAGTAGCTTATTATGATTTTTCAAGTCTTCTCTATTTATGTCTTTGCCACTGCCCCACACATTTTTACTGGGAGGTGTCTTTTGTTATATTTTTGTTACTTAGGGCATGTTCAGTGTCATATTTGTTTTTGTTTTAATGATTAAAAAGGCAAGAAAGCGTAAAGAAAAAAGATGTTTGGTTATTTTTTTTTAATAAACATGTTGCCCATTTTTAAAAAATCAGAAATTTTCTTTTAATCAAAAACATGAAGACACTGGTCCCTTGCTATCTAATTAAAAGTTAAAACCAGTCTATATTTGTACTTTCCACTGAAACAGGGAAAAATTACAGCAAAGATAGTTAAGTCCTACGAGAGGGTAGTATTTAGACAATTCAATTGGGTTTGGACTTCGTTTTATTAGGAGCTACCTGTCCTTTTGGGCTAACGTAAATAGTTGTGTACCTACAAAAACCTATCTTTTCTTCCCTTTTACATAGTTACAGTTAGATTTCAAATCAATATGGACCATTACACATGCCTGTATCCTTGTCTTGTTAATTATCTCTAACCTAAAATTACTAAGAAATGGTTAAAAATTGTTATTTTCTCTCTCTCTCTCTGATTTAATAGAAAACGAAACTGACCCTTGTAGCTTCTGTTTTTTTGGTTGAAATTTTGATTACCACTACTTTTTTTTTTTGGAGAAATGAAACATCTGTCAACACTAAAAAAACCACCAAAGAGCTGAAAAAAATTCAAAATAAGTTATGGTTTAGATTTTGATGAATAGTCTCATTGTTGTAAGGAGGTCTCAAGCTAGGAAGCATGGATACGGGCATAGGTGTCGTATCTTATACGATACAGACACGGAGATACAGAAAAGATTTGACTAATAAAACTAATATAATATATTTTTTAGATAATTATAGAATTATAATATATTAAAAACGAAGTATATTTTATAACAATATTAATAATAAGATCTAACAAATATTATTTTTTGATTATAATTAAACATCCATTATTTTCATCAAACATCATTACTTCAATTAACATTCATAGTATATAAGTTACATAATAAAAAATATAGATAGCACACCCTCTTAATAGTTAACAGTCATTTTTTTAAAAAAAATTGTTGGTCTTGTCGTAATCGTGTCTGACTGAAACTGAGTTTACTATTCATGACACTTGTAGCCGTGTTTGACATTATCATGACACCACTGAGGAAGTATCATTACTTCCTAGGTTTGAAGTTCCTTATTTCTAGAGAAGAATTTCTATTGGTGTAGCATCTTCTAGTAATGTTGACCAAACTTTTTTTTTTTATAAATAAAATCATTACTATACACCACTTTGGTTTTTAGTTCAACCCTTGAAAATATTTTGCAACCATTAATATTTCTTTATGTATGTTGTGACGGGGTGTCGTGAGATATTTTGGGTGTCACTCAATATTTTGTGCTTCTCTATCGTGCTTCCTTACGCGACATGACCCATTGACCCAACTATTGGATCCATCGATACTTCGCAAATTTAAAAGAAGACATTCGTGATGCAATGACTTTGAATTTGACAGTTGGGATCCAACATAAAAAAAAATTATTTTTTGCTTTTTAACATGTCAATTATTTATAAATTTGTCGTTCATGATATCGGTAATGGGTTGACAAAGTCTTCATTTTTTTCCACCAAAAAACTATCAAACTCTCTAATATCTACTTCTCTTTGCAAAACAATCCCTTAATCTTAGAGCTTATTCATACAAAATTTTAATTAATGGTGTTTACATATTGAAACCTTCTTACATAAAAAAAAAGAGTGGAAGACTTGGATTGGTTTTTGGTGGGAGGATTTCTATATAGAGCTTTCAACAAAAAATTAGTACCTAGTTCGATTATATTGGATACCTGAGTTTGATTTAGTTGTTTATTTTAGTGAAAAAAAAGCTATATTTTCAATCCTAATTACAAATTTAGTACCTCTGTTTTGACGTTAAAATTGATAAAAACGCTTAGCAACTTGAATTTTTATCCCTTACATATTTTTCCCTCCCAAAACATTACATCACTCATTTATATAACATGTTCAATAATTTAATATTTGATTAATTTGTAATTTAATATAATTTTTATTTCAGACATTATCTATAAATGATAGTATATAGATGTTGAGAAAAATTTGTTAGATTATGTATTTTGAGAAAATTTTGTTGATATTTTTTTAAAAAATAATGGGTAAAAATAAATTTTAAATGATGTAATCAAGACATGATGGAAATAAAAATTATTATTTAATATAATGGGATCGATTTTTTAGGCACACTAGTATGTGTGTGTGTATATATATAACTCCACTTATGGCACCTTTAAGGCCCATTATGTCTGGTCTTCCCAAGTCCGCATGGGCTAGCACAGAAGGCAGGCTGTGGGCCTGTCCTAATCTACCTGGGCCTGGTCTGCCCATCCCGTTGACCAATTGACAGTCCGACAGATGGCCTACCAGTGGGCTGGTGACATTGATTAGTGACCTGCCATGGCCCAATGCCAACCCTTGTAACAAAATAAAAGTGATTTATATATTGCTAGAGACCAGGCATGCAGCTTGCTGGCTGCACTAGTGTGGAAAATGTGTTCATACTTCATATGACTTCCTATGTTTTGGCTACTTGAGACATTATTAAATGATGGATTTATTCTTGTCTGGATTCCAACTGAGTTTCTATGGAGAAAATCTCCTAATACTCCAGCAGAAAATAGTTCCTCCTATTATTGTAATTAGCAGCTAACATAAGTTTATGAACAGTTGTGACTTTGTAGTGGTGCTTCTCATGCAGGGCTCTAGCACTTGCACCTTTTGTCGACAAGGGATTATCGTGGTTCACTGTTAAGTTTAAGTTTGAGTCACAAGGGAAGGTATATGAACACTTAAATTCCCAAATTTTTTTGCCTATTTTCAACTTTAGTACGTTGTTGATCTCTGTTTCTTCAGGCTTTCATGGCGGTTGTTGGCTTTTGTTTTGGGTTGGCTCTCCTGCTATTTTTTGTCGTGACATTGATTTGGGCGTAAAGTTCATTTTCCACTCCGCTTGGTGCAGCTAATATGTTGATTATCAGTTTTTTTCCAGGCTTTTTTTTTTTTTTGAGATTTGGTTAGTTGTATCTGATGATTTATTCATCATTTGTACATCATATACTAAAGGCCAAGTAGATTTAACTGAATGCATTTTGTAAGGTGGTTGAGTTGTTTAAGTCTTTTGCCAGTCGTAGTAGAGCTAGAATGAAATTTTGCCCCCCCTCTCTCTGTGGATAGTTGTATTGTCTCATGGAGTCCTATTTGTTGGTGACTTAAAGAACATCTCATATCACGGGGTGGAAAGGAACTCCAGAGTATTTGAAGATAGATATAATGTGGTGCAAGGCTCAGGGGATTGAATATATTTTATCTTTTTGGACTTTTTTGGTCATCAAGAATTGAGGTAAGTTGGATAACTTTGTTGCTAAGAGATTGGATGTGTTCAGATTTTTCTTTTCTACTTTTGTTGCTAAGGGGCAAGGTGGTTTGGGTTGGACGACTAGTCAACTTTTTTTTTTTGGTCATTTTTTATACTGCCTTTTTATCAATGATCTTCCATTTTTTATCCAAAAAAAAAACCATTGGATGGGCTCGAAACCCCCCTCCAATCCCCAAATTAATCAGAAAAATAATGCCTCAAGGGTCAAGGGGGCAATTGGAAATTGAAGTTAAAAACATAGAGGTTAATCCTCATTAGGTAGACTTATACTAAGGTTGATTATGCAGGCATTGTTTGGAACAAATTCAGCATCTTCAAGCACACTCTAATTGCCTGGATGGCCTGATTTTATCCCTACATCGTGACTCATTGTGGCCTATGCATGCTTGAAGATGAAAGTTCCGAACATTTCTGTTTTCAGTGCAACTATGCACGGTAGATTTGAACTCAACTCTGTTCTAAATTTGGATATGGACGGGCTCCATTATCTTCAAAAGTTAGATTGCAAGTCACAGTGCTTCAAGCAACATTAGCATAATGCCGATAACACTGGTACCAAGAAATTAATTTTAGTCATAGGTCTTTAATTTCTTTGTGACCATTGATCGTGAAAATATAAAATACGAAACAACAATAAAACTAGACAACCATACACATTTTTATACAAGGGATTGTCAATTTCTTTTCGCACGGAGGTTCGACACATAAGCATTCAACAATTAACAAATTTAAAACGATACTACCATCCAACATGAAAAACCTTTTAGTTGGTTTGTTTACCAAAGAAGTCGGGAGGAAGGTTGAAATATGATGGTGTAAGACCATTCATGTCAGCTGGAGAATAAGAACGTCGGTTGGGATCGAATCAAGCTTGATCTCTCTCCCCCCTCAGTCGGGTAGAACATTTTTGTTTAAACAACCCAAACATTGCATCAACAAAGTATACAGCAGAGACTTCATCGTCTAGCTTTCTGCGACAATTATTTACATACCTGACAGTAATACAGGATTAAAGAAGATACTACAGACAGGTCTCTCAGATCCAAAGTTGCCTAACTGAGGATTTGGATCAGTTGCTGAATTGAAGTACGTGACCATATGTACTTGACATGGGTTTCAAATCAGCTCTGAAAATTGGGAAAGTGAAACAAACTTGGCATCTCCGTATCCTTTGCCCCACCAAGAGCCATGGCAGAGCCTTTGTTTTGGCCAGCATCTGATTAAGCCCACAAGGTTTTTGCCCCTGCTGCAATTTTTTCCTCAGTGAAGCAAGTGACTGCTTGCGTCGCATTATCCAATTTGCAATCAAAGGAGCTTTGAGCATTCAGCTGCTGCCCTACAAAGCCGAAGCTTGGTTAATTAGCTGAAAAATTACAGAGTCAACACATTCAGCTGACCCTTTGCAGAAAATCTTCCAGTGTCATAATCAGAATAACAAGGTCCAGGTGCTAACATATATTCCTGGTCCACAACATCAAAAACCTCTGTTACACAAAAATAAGCTACCATTGGCTCTCATTACCGCAGCAGCCCCGTCCATAAATCCACCCACTTATTGAATTGTAGCCAAAGTATCAAACATGCATACTATAAGTTTTTGTCACAATGCAGGTAATGGATAACGGGTTTTGGACCATTTTTTATACCCTTTTTACATATTTGCCTTAAAATAACTCAGACACGTTATAATAAGTAATGTGAATACAATTATTGCATTTCCTAGGACTGTGAAAAGTCAAGGCAAGGCGGGAGGTAGACCGAAATTAACTTTGAATCAAATGTGATTTAATAGAAAACGTGACCCTTGAAGGAACACAATGGAGAAATATGATGTATTTAGTTGTCTGACCCCAAAAAGATTGGGAGTCTTGGGACAAGACTTTATCGAGTCAAGTAGGGAATACAATAAGCTACTCAACTGGAATCATTAAATATTTACTGTACATGCATGGTTTTGAGCAAGTCCCTAGCATTTCCAGTACTCAGCAACACCCTTCAAGTCTTCAAGTTATATTTTTCAGCAAGCATGGTTAAAGCCCAGTTATTTTTCTTGATTGTTTTCTCATATTCAACTTAAACTTTTCACAATAGTAAGGGGGAAAGACAAGAGTAACAGAAAAAAGGAGCTACCTCTCTAGTCGCTCCGATTGCAAAAGAGAGTAATTCTGAAACACTTTTTTGGGGTGGGAAAAATTTGTTTGCTTGGTGGGCAAGAACTTCTTTCCTATTTCATCTGTGTATATTTGCAGACCGCAACCACTGCAGAAGGATTCCACATCTGATTCCTAGTAAAACAACCCAAGATCACATACAAGTTTGGAGATTCAATGCATGTTGATAATTTATCAACTCATTTTAGTTGATGAAACAGTTACCTTCATCATCAAGAGTCTAGATAGGTCTTCCAATGGATATGGATTAAGCTTGTAACCTCCGTAATTCACACAGCACACTGCCAATGCTTGAACCTTTTATATAATACACAATGAAGAAGCAAGAACACAGAGGTGATCAAAGACAGTTCTTTTTTACCAAAGCAGAGAGTGTCTGCAGAATGCTTGAGAAAAAGGCAGTGAAGATCTTGGTTCCAACAACCATGGAACAATTTGTAAAACAAGCAAATTAAGATTGAGAACTTAAGGTCCATAAATCACAAAGAAAAACAATACAATTGAAGTGCCAAACACTACAACACAATTTTAAAGGAAGATCAATGTCAATAGAATAAAAAGTACAAGAAATCAGGAAATCATGTAGCCAACCAATGACAACGATAAAAAACTACTAAGTTCAGATAAATTAGTTCCAGCTAAGAAACAAGACAAAGAAGAGGAAGGGCCACTCCTTTCCTTTTCTTTCTTTATCGTTCTTTTTTTCCCTTAGGTCTGTGCATGTGGGTTTATAAATATTTTTTTCATTTCTTTTGGGGGGAAAGGTCTGGAATTTTGGAGGATATAGGAGTCAAATTTCATTCAACGGCTCAGCTATCTAGAGTTAGTGAGACGGTGAGGTTCTCTCAAATTACAAGAGAAAAATATATACGATAAACAGAAAATAAAGGTTGTAGAGTGTGAGAGAAACATGACACACTCGCCTCCTTGGAGAACTCAAGCACAATGCATTTTTAAAGACAGAATGTACCACTTTAGATAAAAATAAAAACGCTAATAAAATGGAAACAACCTCACAGATGTAAGGTTCAATAATGCAATACTGCAGATAGGATGCCTCAGCCTCCGTAGTACAAATGAAGTGCTTGTAATTGCCCAAACGAAAGTATCTGTTGCAAAACATAAAGAGAAAAGCAAATATAACAGATGAAATTTTTTTGAGCTTGAGATAAGAAAATAGTCAAAAAAAAGAAGCAGCAGCAGCACATATAAAACTGCATGGTTCTGCTACCTTAAAACTTACGAAGATAGAGAAAACAGATTGGCAAAACTGTTACAAAAGCAGTACAATCTCTCTGTGACATTTCTGTTACCTTAAAACTCTCCGAGCAAAACACATTTCCTTTGACTTCATAACAAGAGAAGGAACACGACGGAACCACAAAGAAATTGACTCCCCCTGTGGATCAGGAAATACTAGATTTACTGATTTCAAGATATAGTACAGGGCACAAAACGAGAAAATGCACAAACTTAATTAACCACATTAGTGAATAGAGAGATAAACCATTGGTTGGCTGTCAGAACCAAGATGAAGAAGCACATAAAATGAACGAAATTCAGCTTCATTCTCATAAATGGAATGGGAAGTTCGATTTGCTTCATACAGGTTATATAAAGATGTCACAGCCTTTGTAAGTTGCTCCATGTTGAGGTGATGCATTGAAGATATATTTGAATTGCCACAACATCTTCGAAGCTTGTGGTGGGATATGACATGAAATTTAACCTGCATGATGAAATACAACAATGCTATTTCTTATATGTTCATGGCTCAAGTATTTAAAAGGGTGAGTTCCCTGGCTAGAAGTTTAAAAAAAAAAAGGCTTTATGCAACTACAAATTGCATGGTTCTTAAATTTGCATGCCCAAACACCATATAGAGATATCACAGTATGTACTGCAAAGAAAAAGTGAAGGAAACTAGAAGCTTGTCCTATAGCATCATCAGCATCATGTTATCCTGTCTTATTTTCGGACAGCTAGCTAGTTCATCAATATTTCATTAAGATATGATGCTGCTATTACTGTCTTATCAGCCTTTTATTAACATAAAGAAGTCTAAATGTATTTTATCAATTTCAAATTTGCTTCGAATGAGATGTAAATTGATTAATGGGGTCTACTTTGGATCAAAATATGTTATCAGGCCCTTAAAAGTGGCCAAAACTGCAAACTTTATTTTTGGATCCCTAGTTCTTGTTGAATTGGGAAAAGTCACCTCAGCAAGTGAAGAAAGGACATGGGACACACTTGCAATAGCTTATGAGGATAACTAGATAAGCTTTGAATTCTGTGATGCAACCTAACCTTAAGGGATGCGAACTGAAATACCCAAAATTCTTCTTCTGCCTATTCTCATCCTATTATCCATCTATTAAATTCATGTACCAAATTACAGTACACAGCCCAAAACAGCACCTAATTTCATCTCTGAAAACTATCCTACAATGAAGGCCTAACCAGCTCTAACTCATGTTCCAATCCATTGGCCTTTAGTTCAGTGTCTATGATTTAACATTTCTACCAGCCAAAAAATTTTCAGTGCATTTTTCTAAAATTTTTGCGGCCTATCACTTTAAAATATCACATAGTTTCAACCATTTTCAATCCCCAAAACCTGCAAACTCTCTTTAACCTTGTAATCTGTTCCCAAAAGTTTCCAATATCCATAACCCACCACAAAATCACATATAAGAAGCATTATTCCAAGTTCGTAGATGCTGTCTGACATTGGCAAATGTATGAAAAAAGCATAAACCATGCATCAAGTTTTTTGGTCCACCTTTGTTGGTTTAGTTCAACCATTTCTGTGAAAACATTCTAAGCCAGAAGTAGAAATAAGTTCTGCCCGTTACTAATATTTTTGAATATAAAAAGAAGAAAAAATGAAGTCAAAAAGAATATATTGTAAATAAAAGATTGAAAAAGTCAATAGACAACCATTAGTGGAATGGTAGATGGCAATAACACAAACTATTTTTAAAATTCCTACCATGTATGGTCAAGAAACTGTATGTGGTAAAAATAAGAGCAAGCTTTAATTCATCCACAAAATAGAATAAATAAAATAAAAGCAAGACCTCTGGAGGCAAAAAAGGAAAGTTTACATGCAATAAATATTAGATAGGCCTCAAAATACCTACAGTGGGAAATCAAACTTCAAGCAACCGCTTTAAGGTGCACGGATATTCAGTATGAATGCACAAAGGGTTTATGCACATGGTAAATGATAGTCACAAGTAAAATTGTAAATAGAATTACACGAGAAAACTAAATTTAATCCATGGTAGCATATAAAGAGGCAAAAGTTAACATCCCCAATTAAGAAAGATATATGAAAATGGGAAATAACTTGGTTGACTTAGACTTACTGGCTTTGTAGGAAAATAATGGATCACTTACAAGGGATCATTAAGTTATTATACTTAAAAAGCCAATGACAGCAATCAAAACTATAATGTTAACAAATGATAGGCATACCATTCTCTCATACAGCTGGATCACTTGACCACCCACGATGTTTTGCATACTAAGGTCTTGCCTTATGGACCTTGTCCTATCAAAGATGAAGTCATGAACTACTTCAAACGGATGTTCTGTGGAATCCCACAAGTTGGAAAGGTAGTTTAAAGTGTCTTCCAACACTGAGAGAGGCCGCACATTTGAAGCTTGGTCATGTTTTGCAGATATGGTTCTGCAAAACTAGTGAGAGATTACGAAGGGTGGAAGTGAGAGATTACAAAGATTTAACCAAATCATGCATCAAATGCAATCATTTCTAGCTATATATAGAAATAAAGGGGAATGGAATATAAGTGCACAGAAAATTACATTCGAAATTCAAGAAGCGAACAAGTTTTCAGACTTAGGACCAAATGAAATTTTAACCAAACCAAACTGAATAGTTCCCATGCCTTGCATTTGAAACTTTTTGATAATACCCTAGATAGCTGTAAAAAGAACCCTCAAAACAAATCCAAGATCGATATGGGTCCTTCGGTATCTGGTAGGTTTTCAGGGAGCCTACACAAGAAACCCAGATCGAAAAAAGGGATTATTACCTAATGGGTTTATTTAAGTTATGGGAACTTTTTTTGATGAGATTATTCTTTTGTAATGACACTGAACAAATCAACAATATAAAGCCAAAAAGGCAAAAATAATACAAAAAGAAGGATAAAGATAAAAGAACCTAACGCAGACAAGCACATGGATTCACAAAAAAATAACAGGCTTTTGTTTTCAAAGTAAAGATATTAGATATTGGTGGTCAACTCAGAGGAAGCTTTCAGAAAAATTACTGCAAAATACATGGACTGCCACGCAAGCGTTTGTCTCAAAATCACCTTTAACTTATGCGTTACTTTTATCCAACCAAAAAATGTGCTTTAACAGGTTTAAGGCAAAGCTAAGGGGAATTGTAGTGGTAAAAGTGTAAGGTGTGCCTACTCCACCTTTCAAGCATACGATTAATGAGATGAAACTGGATATGACCCTTGTTTGTAACACTTATAAAATGCTAAAACCCGAGTGACCCATTTGATAGAGTTTATACAAATGAATGCACAGCACACTCAAAGAAAGAAACTGTTAATCTAGCATAAATATCATTCTCAAAATATACCTTTTTAACAGCAAGGGTCGGAGACGATTTCCTGGGATTTCCATGTAATCTCTCGAACACAGCTAAATCTCTGAGACGCTCACGTTGCACCCTCTCCTCAACTGTTTTATGAAAAAATTTGAATTAAACGTTACAATTCAGGGCATAACAAGATATGACGATGCGTAACACAAATTCTTGGTACCTGGGCACATGAAAGGGCAAGTTCCGACTAAGGTTGGATGATTCGCTTGGTCATCGGCGGTGTCCCAATTGGTGATGTTGTTATCATTTGGGTTCGAATTGGGTTCTGAAGATCTAGTGGTGTGATTTGTGGGATTATTTGATTGAAATTTGCGGGAAGATTGGAAATGCAAAGATGAATCGGCGAAAGTGGAAGAGGAAGAAGATCGATGAGTGTTTCTTCTACCTCGCGTATACTTGGGTAGACTCCTTTCCGCCATGGTTGGGGCTGCCTCACAACCTACTGGTGCAGTGGTGCCTCGTCACTTGCTTACAGAAGAGTGTTAATCTGACCATCAATCCAACACAATATCATCAACCCGATCCGACCAATCATACTATTGATAAATATACATATTAAATAGGGTAAATATCACTCACACCCCTAATATTTGGTTTTATTACACAGACACCCCCTTCACATTTTAAAAACAACACTGAGACCCCAATAAGTGAACGACATTAACTGTATCATTAAAAAAACTATTTTACGCTTAATTAATTGATCAAATAAAATTCATGCGATTCTCAATTCATGCCCCATGGGTCAAAATCTATGCCCCTTGTCCAAGTCAACACTCTAGGACCCATGACCTAAAACCCACTATGCTCGAAGCCCCAATAATTAATCATCACCCCCCTTTTTTTCTCTTTCCTTGCGCCACCTTCAACCTTCTTTCAATCTTTCTCTGTCTCCCACACATAGTCATTTTAGGAGGAATTGTAGTGGTGGATGACTTTGAAACCCTAACTTGTGCGATGCAATTAACTCCCCTATGCTTGTCTTTTAGATTTGATGCAATGGTGTGTGAATTATTAGTGATGACATCAGATTTGACTATTAACAATTCTAATGCTGTTAGTTGGAGTTTGGTGTCATTTTTAAAATGTGAGGGGGTGTTCGTGTAATAAAATCTAATGCGGGGTGTGAGTTATATTTATCCAATTAAATAAATAAATAAAATTATTATTTATATATTAAATATTTTTTTTGATAAATATTGACACAAACGCAACACAAAATGACATGAAATAACCTAACACGAGTTTTCCTGTTACTTCCCACCGGAACACCGTTTATCAATGATTGGTTAACTCAAATTTAGTCGATGTTTGGTAAAGTCGTTGAAAATTATGTTTGTGTAATTCATTAATTAAAAAAGTTCTAAGTTTATGTTGCCCTTAATTTTGGTTTGCATAGTTTAAATGGTTAAATGAATTTGATTAAACTTTTAGATTTTTGTTTGTCATTCATTTGATATGAAATACGTGTGTGGATCGGTTCGATTTCTATTTATACAAATTCTGTTGTCAAACACTATTGAAATATGAATAATTTTAAATTTATGTGTTACTCTAATCTAAGTAACTCTCTGAAAGAACAAATATTTCATGTGTAGACCATCAATAATGTCATAAACTAATAATAATTGTTGTGAAATTACTAAATTAACTTAATACAAAAGAAATAATATAAAAGTTGAATTTGAGAAAATTTTGAAAATTTTCATTTTTCTCTTTCTTTCTAGTTTTATGTACTTTTCATTCATCCTAAGGAGTGCCTTTTACATGCAAACGAACAGAAGTTGAAAGATTGAGAATTCAACCTTTTCAATTGCACTATTAAACTGGTTTAGGAAAAAAAAACACTATTAAATATAAATACTATGAAGTAGTGAATAATATTGATATTTAATAGAGTACTTGAAAATTTGAATTTTTAACCTCTGTCTGTCTACTTCTTCTCCCTATAAAAGGAACTCCTCATGACGAATATGAAGTGTAGAAAATCAGAAAGAAAGAGAGGAATACAATTCCCTAAAATTTTCTCTGATTTAGTTTTTGTGTTAAACAATTCTATGTTTGTTGTAAAACAATATCACATGATGGATGATCACCATTATCCCTTCATCATTAATGCATGTCTTTCAACCATTACTCTCATGTCTTCAAAATCTCTACAAACACTTGTACAATTTCTTATAAAAGAGAGACTCTGGGAAGGCTATCGGTACACCAATTAGAATATAATATCTCTCTATTTCTCAGTGTTCTGTCTGTCTTTATTTGTTTTTGAATTAATCATTTGCACATAAATAATTTGCTAGTTTTATAACACGTTAAAGCTAATTAACCGAGTCATTGTCGAAAAATTTTCTATACTCGAAAGTTTTGTGATATGGCCAATCTTATAAATCTAGAGTTCTCTACTCTAGATATTTCTGGCAATAATTATCTATCATGAGCACTTGATGTCGAACTTTATTTTGATTTTGAAAACCTTAGAGATACCAACTAAAAACACTGTAACTCAAAAAGATAGCGCGAAAACACAGATGCTTCTTCGTCATCATATTCTCGAGGGGTTAAAAAATGAATATCTAATTATGAAAGATCCTTTGGTCATTTGAAAAAACTTGAAGGACAGGTTTGATCACAAAAAAATCATCATCTTTTTCAAAAGCTAGGCATGAGTGTTTCAACCTACAGTTTTAAGACTATTAAACTGTATGAGAATATAATTTAGCAATGCATAAAATAACGTCTAAATTGGAGTTGTGTGAATAACCCGTGACTAATGTTGACAAACTTGAGAAAATACTCTATATTTCATATATCAAATATTATACTATAACAACAATATAGACAACATGGTTTCAATACATACAATAGCCTCATTGCATGTCTCTAACTGAGTAGAATAATGAATTACTAATAAGGAACCATGAAGTTCGTCCAACTGGCCATCAAGCCTTCCCAATGCCACATTTTTTCGTGGTCAATGACAAGGTCGTGATTATGGCCGTGGAAAAAATAAAAACACTCATTTTCGTAAGGGTTATCATGAAGACCCGAAGTCCTTCACGTCAAATCAAAAAAAAAAAATGTCCCATACAACCAAAAGAGGAACAACCATCCACACTACCAGAAGTGGAATAACTAGAGTAAAGAAAATAAATAAAGTAGTTTATTGAATAAACTCTTTAAGAAGACTGAAGACGGTTATTACATATGTAGAATGAAAGGACATTAGTTGAGTAAAACACTATATGCCGAAATATTTGGAAAATCTCTATGAAAAATTCATTAAAGGAAAATAAAAATTTGTAGGAATAAAATGGAGAATATAGATTAAAATATTATCTTGTATTTTTTACAAATAATTTAAGTGTATGTCTGTAAGTTTTGTCTTTGTGTGATATTTGAAACATATTCATGTCTATTTATTTTATTAATAAAAAATATGTGTATTTTTCATATAGAGGCATGGATTATGGTAATTCATTAGTTAACTCCAAGGTAAAATATGAAGCTATATATATATATATATATATTGTGGGTAGTGCCATAACTCACCTAATTCTTCGTGACAAAAAACATTTATCTGAACTAACGTTATCTAAAACTAAGGTTAATACAATATCAAGTCCTGCAGACTTGATTGAAGGCTCTGGCAGAGAAAATATTATATTACCCAAAGGAACAAAACTCTTTATTGAAAATGCATTATACTCTAATAGACCTAGTAGAAATCTACTAAGTTTTAAATATATACAACATAATGGATATCACATTGAAATGATGAATGAGGATGACAAAGAGTACTTATACATCATTTTTATTGTATCATCCCGGAAGTATGTAATAGAAAAACTTTGTATTCTCTCTTATGGGTTGTACTATACCAGAATAAATTTTGTAGAATCAAATATTGTGATGTACCAAAAGTACTCTGATCCAAAGAATTTTATGTTTTGACATAATTGTCTTGGTCATCTAGGATCAATAATGATATGTATGATCATTAAGAATTCACATGGACATTCTCTAAAGAACCAAAATATTCTCTTACCAAGTGATTATCCATATTCTGCTTGTTCACATGGTAAACTGATTGTCAGACCATCCTCTTCAAAATTGATTTCTTAATCTCCTAATTTTTTACAACGAATTTAGGGAGATATATGTGGGCCAATACACCTTTTTGACCGAGTCATTTTGTTATTTCATGATTTTAGTATATGCATCAAAAAGATGGTCGCATGTGTATCTATTTTTTATATGAAAAGTCATATGTGCAAGGCTTTTTGCTCAAATAATCCAATTGCAAGCATAATTCCTAGATTATCTAATAAAGACAATTCATATTGATAATGTTAGTGAGTTTACATCTCCGACATTCAATAACTATTGCATGTCAGTAGGAATGTATATTGAGTATCCAGTTACACATACTCATATACAGAATGGTCTATATAAGTCTTTTATTAAACATATTCAATTGATAGCTCAACCCATACTCATGAAGACGAAATTACCTACTCCTGCCTGGGAACATGTTGTATTGTATGCAACAGCTTTAATTCATGTTCAACCAACTGCATATCATACATATTTACCAACATAACTTGTTCATGATCAACATCCGAATCTTTCTCATTTACGGGTTTTTGATTGTGTTGTATATGTTTAAATTCCACCACCAAAATGGGCCTACAACGTTGACTTGGTATTTTTGTTAGATTTGACTATTCTTCAATACTTAGATACCTTGAACCTTTAGCTGGAAATATATTTAAAGCATTTTTGCAGATTGTCATCTTGATGAATCAATTTTTCCACCATTAGGGGGGACAATAAAAAATCCGAATAACAACATGAATTTATTTGGAATGTTCCAGCGTTATCTTATTTTATTCACTGAACAAATCAATGTGAACTGAAAGTTTAAAGGATCATTCATTTGCAGGATATTGCAAATAATTTACCTGATACATTCATCGACACAAATAAAGTAACAAAGTCATATCTACCAGTTGCAAATGCACCAACAATAATTGATATCATTGTAGGACCATTTGGTAGAACTACTGCAAATGAGTCTAAGCACGTCTAAAGTGTGGTAGACTTGTCAATGTAAAAGATATTATCCCTAGAAAAAGAAGAGGACAAGAGAAAGTAAATAAAAAAGTTAATGCTCAGAAGAGAATACCAAACCAGAATTTGTGCTCTTGAAGAGAGTCATCCCATAAAACAATTACCTCCTCTAAAAACTCAGTTAATTCTTGAAGAGTCTCAAATACCTCTAGAAAAGGCTCAAATACCTGAGAATGATGTTATCTTTATGAACTATATGTACAATAGAAAAAGATGGGATCAAAAAAATTATGGATCACATATTTTCATTTGCTATAGCTTTTGATATTTCAAGGGACAGTGAGAAGCCAAAACCTGACCAAAATAGAAAGAAGCGATTCAGGCAGAGTTAAACCACTAAAAAAACGCAGTGCAATTGGACC